ATCATTTTTTCATATATTTATATATATATATTATATATATGTATATATGAAAAATATATCAAAATGCATGTGGGTACTCAAATGAAAGCTCTTGATGAGTGTAACATCGGGATGAGCTTATATCTTTAAAAACGTCAATATTTAAGAAAGTACAGTGGAATTTAACAAAAGTCATTATTTAATAAAGCAAAATTTTGTTTATTTATAGTTCACAAGTCACCGGTGTCACATAGTGACTACAAGGTTGCTAGTAATGATTAATGATGATTTATCCACAGATCCAATAATGAAGCTGTTTAATGGTGATGTTTATGATGACACTAAATATGCAAGTGTTTATTCATTATATCGCAAACCCACAGGCCATGACTTCAAAACTAGCAGCGCAATTAAAACTGCCTGGATTATACATTGTTTAAATGCAACTACGGAAATATTTGGCAAAAATTTAACAGAATTGATGGAAGATAATTGGGCATTGTTTGTTGGAAAATTATTATTACATCATTACGAAATAAATGTGTCAAACATGATTGCGGTATTTAATTATTATTTATGCTTGTTTTTAATTTTCACAAGAAAAATTACTTAATTTTGATTTCAGATTGAGCTAAGCCAGAAAAAAAGTGATGATAAAATAAGAATGTGTGGTGCAGTTTTAATTCCACTGATCGACTTATGCAGTCATTCCTGCGATCGCAATGCCTACGCAATTACTTCTGGAGATATTTTTTCTCTTATATGTATTCATCCGATCAAAAAAGGAGAGCAAATTTGCATTAGTTATGGACCAGATTACAGAGAGCAAAGTACTGTAGACAGAAGGGCAATTTTAAAAATAAACCACGGTTTTTGGTGTGAATGCTTTCCTTGTCTCAATAACTGGAGTCCAAATCAAAATCTGCCAACTTGTGTGGTAATTATAATTATTCTAATATTGTAATAATTTTGCATTCTAGTTTCAATCAACTAGAAATAATGATTAATTGAAATTTCATTTCATAGGATTATTTGTCAAACAAAACAAGAGTAGAATTATTGACAGTTGTGAGAAATTTCAGCGGTTATTTTTCATTTAGTACTCTTGAAAGTTTATCCACCGACGACATTTTGAAATTATTGTCAAAATTTTTTGAATTAATAAATTTAGTCGGTAGAGATGTCAGTTTTTTATCTCAAGAAGTGGACGATTTAACAGTTTTAATGCTTTATGTTTTGAAGTGGATTAATTCTCGTCAAACAATTTTTTGATTCATACATATATAAGTATACTACTTATTCATATGATTATGAATCATAAATATACTAAGAATATAAACTATTTTTTTTTTCTACATTATTTTTAGTCATAAAATATTATAAGTTAGATTATTTTGTTCTCATGGAATAATTTCTGCGATATAAGAATACCGACAGATTTTATATTTTATATATTCATATAACTATAAAAGTATACTGATTAGTTTTGTCAAGTCTATTAATAAAAATTAATGATTCACGCTATGCTATGTTAATATTTTTATGGCTCAATTAATTATTTAAAAATTAATTTTTTTGTTTAGAGAATAAATTATTGAACGAAATTACATTAGATCTTGTGAAGATTTCGCTGAAATGCATAAGTGAAATTTAGAATTATAATATCATTCATCTCCTGAAAAATTAAAAAACTAATGTTGCGTCTACTTATCTACAATAATCAATGAAACAAAACTTCCAATATAAGTCTAATTGAAGACATATAATTGTCAAAAGCTTTTTTGTATGGTATCAGCAATACTGAGAATTATCACAATGACTCATAAATTTTTTTCATTTGTTATTGTATTATCATCAACTATAGGAAATTCTTATTCTTTATTTTTATTTTGGTAGTTCAAAGTAATGCACTTAATGATAATCTCTACTTACAACTAACAGTAGATTTTATTTTGTAATTATTTTTTTTAGCATACTTTACAAATAAAATAAACTTCGTAGTTCACACCTGCTTCAGTTCATCGTCGTACTTTTATCACATCACTCGTGCTTTTAATATTTATTGAGTTTGAGAAATTAAAATAGGATTTATATTTGAAATCAGAACTAAAATTTTTTATTATTTTCTTGATTTGTGATATTAACAATAATTCAACAAGTGAGTAATTTTAACATAAGGAAGCAATTTATCTATAGGTAAATTATAATTATATAAAATAAATAATAATATCTCTAGTTCGTAATTAAGTCATAAGTTTTTGTGAATGATATTTATGGTTTTTTTTTTATTTTTTTGCTAAAATCTCAGGAATTAATTTAAAATTATTAGAATAATTGATTAATTTTACTTAAATTTATAATAAAATAACATAAATTTTAAAGTTATAACTTAAATCAAGTTATAAAACTTGAAAAACTCTTCAGATTAAATTTTGCTGAAGAATTATATAATTGATTATGAACATTCAAATGTTCATTAAATAAATTCTTATGTAACCTTCTCTGAAATTTATAATCGAGATAAACTATTATTAACATACTTTTGATCTTACAGAAATGGCGTTGATCTCCGAGGTGAAAGAACTGTTCAAGCAAGTGGAAATCAATAATTCCTCTAGAAAAAGTGATGAAGATTTTATAAAATATGCGTTTGAAAAAGCAACAGCGTGCGACGAAGTTATACCATTAATAACAGATTATTTGGAGACTAAAAATGAAAAAACTGCGGCAATAAAATTGCAGATGGCTATTAAAATGTCGAAGGATAAAAATGCGCCATTGGAAAATATAATTTCATGTTTTAATCAATCAGTAGCATATGGAATTCATAAATCCGACATTTCAACTAAAGCTTACATAAACCGTCACACATTTCTAGTGGATATGTGCATGTATGAAGAAGCATTGAAAGATATCAATAGTGTATTACAAACAGATATTTCAGCGGAATTACGGATCTATTCATACATAAAAAAAATAAAAATTTTATTGGCTTTAAATAGAGAGGGCGAAGGTAATGATTTAATAGGTGATCTTTTACCTAAATTACAAGTTTTAGATATAAAAGAAATCAGTAAAATAGAATTTGGAATAGAGTTGTTGAAATTGTCTCTAGAAGTAGGGCATTATCTTATGTATATAGATTCTGGTGAACCCTCTGACAAGTCTGCTGCCTCCTCCTTTAAAAAAGAAGAAAAGGTCTCAGAAGTACGCCCCAACCAGTTCCGACCAGCAGTTCTACAACGTAATAATTTCAAATTTATACCGATCGAAGATGACAAAAAAAAGTCTTCATTCAATTCATCAAAAATCTCTCTAAATTACTTTTATGATTTGGGGTATCATTTAGTCGCTGAAGAAGATATTAAAGCTGGTGAACTTCTCTTGGTAGATCAAATATTTGAAAAAGTAATTAAGTGTAATGAACGCTACCTACGCTGTTGGAATTGTACAAAATTTTGCTGGTCTTGTGTTCCCTGTCACAAGTGTGCCAATGTCATTTTTTGCTCTATACCATGTCGAAAAGCAGCCTCTATAAAGCACCAAACTGAGTGCCAAATAATTAGTGTATTATTGAATCATCGGAATTTTTATAACGAACAATCCTTGTTGAGCTTAAGATTATTTATTAGAGCTTTAGATGAGTTCAACGATCTAGAAAACTTACATAGCTGTGTAGAAAGAATAAAAACAGGTAATTATCATACTTATTATGGAAAACGAATGTTTTTTTTTTAATTTTACATTAAAAGTAGTTGGGTAAAATTGATCAAATTTATATAATTTATACTTTTTTTTACTTGGTTTGATGAAAATTAATTTAGCAGATATTTGATAATTTTAAGAATTTTTTTAACAAATAGATTATTATTTATTATTTATTAAATTTAATGCCAAAGCCATAGCTATATGGCAAATATATACTAAATATATTATGGCAAAAAAAATAAGAAAAAAAATTGACATGTAGAAATTTTAAAAAATTAAAAATGCAATTTTTTAAATATAATTTTTTTGAACAAATTTATTTGTTAGAAAAAAAACTAAAAAATAATCAAGTAACTGCTAACTTTAATGTCATCTTGGTTTGAATTGTTTATAATTTTAGAAGATTTTATAAAACTAGTGAAATTTATGAAAAAAAAATAATACTGAAATTAGCAGACATTTGATATTTTTTTTATTTTTATTACAAATCAATTATAAAAAAATTTGTATTTGTAATTTTTTTTTATTAAAAATTTTTTATTATAATTTAGTTATTACAACAATCCAAAAAATCTGACACTTGTATGTTAACTTCAGTATCTTTTAAAAAAAAATCTAATACCGTTGACAAAATTATATTTGCAGAATCCAAGAGTCCAGAACTAGTGATTGGTGGTATTGATCCTAACGAAGCTATCCAATACCGGCACTTCTATCGTATGAGTCGAGACCCAATGGACAAAAAATCTAAAGATAAACATTCTTTCGCTTCGGTGTATTATACATATTGCCTGGCAGCCACAACTGAAATATTTGGTAAAAAGATTGAGGACTTTAAAGAATTAATAAGCCATCCGTTTGTTTCATTTGTTGCGGAATTACTTTTTCATCATGCTATGTTGATTGATACACATATGATCCCGGTATTTAAATTTACAATTCTTCATATTAATTTTTTGGAATAAAAATATTAATTATATTTTTCATACTTTGTTCTAGTTAAGGCAACGAACTTTATGTGACAACGCCAGAATCTATGGAGGTGCTATTATACCTTCAGTGAGTTTATGTGGTAATGACGATCATCCAAACTCATACCAATTTTTTAATCAAGACAAGATTGTTCTTACTTCGATGGTGAATATTAAAAAAGGAGAAATAATACGTACAAATTTCGGGCTAAATTATTTAAAAATGTTTACGACAAAAGAACGAGATATTTTATTAAAAAAACCTAAATTTGGGAAACAATATGAAAGTTGTCTTCCTAATCAGGATTCTGGTCCAATTTATTCACCTTGCTTGGTAATTATTAAATTTATTAACTTTATTTAATTTTAATCAATTATTTGAAAATAAATTTTAATCTTTTAATATTTTTAAATTTACAGAATCATTTTAAAAATCCCGTTGACTATAATGATATACGGCTTTTTTTAAACGAGCTTTCAATTTCAAACTTAGCCCGATGGAGTTCAAACCAATTGGAAAAAGTCCCTGAAGAAAAAATGTTGACTATTATAAACAGTTTATTTCAATTTATCAATCAACATAATGAAATAGAGAATATATCTTGTATAAGCGTAAAAGCAGTAAACAAGCTTTTGTACCATATTTACGACTTTATTGACAGTTATGAATTATAATCAGTTCATACATCAAAATTATAACTATAAATATTATGACTAAGCGCAATTGTAAAAAAATTAGACTATACGGGGCATTCCATGCCAAATCGATCACTTTTGACACCGACCCTTTTCGATTTTTCTGAAATTTTGGTATCTTTCTCTACCCTATTGAAAACAATTTTCAAAATTGTTTTCAATTTTGTAACCCAACCAAAAAAAAAGTTACGAAAGAAAAATTTTACCACTCTGAAAATTTCAGGAAATTTGCAAAAAAAACTGAAGTTTTTTATAAAAAAGAAAAATCGAAAATCAAAAATGTCAATCATCCCAAAATTTTCGTTTTTTTCCAAAAAGTTAAAAAAAAAACATTGAATATGAATCCGAATTATTATTTTTATTTTTTTTTTAAAGTACATTTAAAGACAAAAATTTCAAAAAAAAAACATCCCAAAAAGTCAATTTTCAAAAAAGTTATGGTTATTTAACAAAAAAAAAGCTGTTTTTTTGTAATAACTCGTAACTTTTTTTTGGTTGGGTAAAAAAATTTGAAAAAATTCTGAAAATTGTTTTCAATGGGGTAGAGAAAGATACCAAAATTTCAGAAAAATCGAAAAGGGTCGGTGTCAAAAGTGGTCGATTTGGCATGGAATGCCCCATATATTCTTACTGTAATTCTTAAAATTCTTAAGAATATCAAATGCATGAAAAGTTTTTTGAAATTGTAAATTCTAAAAATTAAATGTGTGTATATAAAATTTAAATCATTATATCAATTTCGGAAATTTTTAAATAAAACATGAAATTTATTTTAAAAGCTAATCTTAATTTTTGTAAAATGAATTTTATAAGTAATACAGTTTGAAATAATTTATTCACGTAAAATATTATAAAAAATGTCTTGTAAATTGTACATTTGATTGCATTAATTATATTGCAAAAATCTATAATAATACTCAATAATAACAACCACACAAAAACTAATTTAAGATTTATAAAAATTATTATCCTTTGACACCAGGCTTATGACCTTTTATATGTTTCATCGCTTTACAACCGTTACAAGCACATGCAGTTGGCACTTGAATGCGTTTCAAAAATAATTTTCCATCTTCACATACAATATTAACAATTAATTCCTTTAATTCAATCGGTTGACAGCATTGACAATTTGTTTCTTGGACCCAGCTCACTGTAAATTTTTTTTATTAATTGTTACTTCATGTGCCCAAAAATATGCAATATTTAGCTAATTAAAATATTAATATTATAATTTACCAGGATTGTAGTGGGTGGATGATTCACAAATACCGTGACACTCTGTTAATCCATCGATTGGAGCAACATTACGACAGATGCCATGTTTTCCTCGTTTCTCAGAGATAATACCTATTGTCGTATCCAACTCGAGAACTTCAGCCATACAGGTCTCTGTAAGTAAAATTATTATTAGAAACTTTTTTTAAATCCAATTTGAATCTCATTTAATTGCTAAATATTTAAACGCACTTTGTAAATCCAGAGTTGTCATGTTGCATGCATTACAGCAACCATCATTATAAATGTCTTTCAATGGACATTTAGATACATCTGGACAAACACGAGAGCTCGTACTGATGACCATCTAAAATGATTGTTAATTATTAATGTTTATTTTAATATAATAATTTAATGAAGATATAAATAGACAAATGGCATCATACATAACGCGTTGCTAATGGTAAAAGGACGTATAAAAAATTTTTTTTTTATTCAATTAACTTAAAAATATATAAAAGTATGAATCTGGTTGAAAAATGTAAAAAAGAAAATTTTTTTTGACATACGCCTTTTTGGCTTGAAAAAAAAATTCTAAAGTCAAAAGGGTGTATTTAAAAAAATAGTCAAAATAGTTTTTAAAGAACTCTAAAAGTCGAGATCTAATAAACAATTAACTTTAAGTAAATGAATAGGTAACACTATCACAGCCCAATTTTTTGAAATTTTCAATTTTTCGTATTTTGTAGAAATTCATTGAAAGAATTTAAAATAAAATTTTTAACTTCGGGTAAAAAAAAATTGAAAATTTCAAGAAATTGAAACAGTTTTTTTAGTTTAAAACTTCTAAAAATCAATTTTTCGTGATCCTCAGTCAGGTAAAAGACCCAGTTATTGACACTGGCCTAGTTGATTGACACTTGCAATTTTATTTTTATTAAAAAATGAAATGTTCTCAAAAAAACAATTATAATAAAATTTAGAATATCGAAAAAAAGTTTAATTTGCGTTTTTCGACCAGATTTTTACTTTCATAAGTTCCTAAATTGATTAGAGAAAAAAAATTTTCTTTTATACGCGCTTTGAGCATTAGTAACGCGATAAAACATTAAAAATTTTTTTTGCTCTCATCCTTTTTAAATTATAATATAAAATATTTTGTATTAACCTGGCCCTCATTAAATTGGCATTCGTATGTAGTGCAATTATCCTCAGAATACCAAACTGAATCAGGATTGTATAAAATACCGTCAACCACGCAAAATGACGGAATACACCTTCCGCAACATTGTCCTTCTTCTGGACTCTGATATTCCCATCCCTAAATAATTAATCATGCATTAAAAACACGTAAATAAAAAAATTGTAAGTAATAAAAATTTTTCAAAATGCTTACGAATTCACAACTTGTGTTACAATTCTGGACAGTACGTTGTAGTTCAATTTTTTCCGCACCCACTGCACAACTTTCTGTTATACAACTATCGGCCGAGTTTTTCCATGTACTACTGGGTCTATAAACCTTTCCATCAGATCGACAGCCCGTGCGGGTGTACTTCGGACAACATTGTCCAAAAATTTTTTCAACTTCAATCTCATAAAGTTCTTCTTCTTGTGAATTGAGAATTTCACACTGCGTAGTAAGTTCTTTTACTCTCAACTATAAATTTAAATAAACAAGTTAGCATTTTTCTTTATAAAATAATAAATTTAAAAAATAAAAAATTTATACTGACATCTCCATTATCAGATATGCACTCGTAATTTGTGCAAAAGTCTTCAGAATACCATTGCTCTCCAATATTTTTAAGAGTTCCATTTACTACACAAGTAACAGCGACGCATTCACCGCAACATTTAACTCCTTTGTCTTTAGAAGGATTATACTCATACCCCTTATCGCAAGCAGTATTACACTCCTGATTAATAGTCGTCTTGCGAACTCCAGTAGTTGTATTTTCGCACTTGACAATCACACATGTGTCACTTGGATTCAGATACCATTCTTGTCCAACCTAAAGATGAGATTTAATATTTATTTTTAGATATAATTTTTAAAAGTAATCCGTATTGTTTGTAGACTTACATTATAAATAATGTCGTGATTTCTGCAAGCGACTCGTTCAACACGAGGACAACATTGATCAATCAAAACTTTTTCTTCTAGTACAAAATCGTTAAAATCTGGGTTTGAATGAATATCAGGACACTCTGTTGTCAAGCATGAAGGTTTAGGAAGTTCATCAGAAGATTTTTCACAAACGCAAGAAACACATGGCCCATCTTTCCATGTTTCTCCTACTTTTTTCGCAACGAGATTCTCACTTGTAACGTCGTTACTATTTACTGCATTATAAAGACATAGATCTTTTGGTGGTTCTGAAAAAAAAAAAAAAAAAAAAAAAAAAAAAAAAAAAAATTATTGTGTACACTAATTCAATAAATCTTAAGCTCAATATTAAAAAGATTGTTGTGAAATGTTAATTTTCTTACCGCACTCATAAGTGGGACAACAAGCTCCTGGAGCTTCTTTTAATTTAATACTGTTGTAATATCTTGAACAATTCTTAGGTGCCGGACAAGTTTCTAGTTTACAAGCTAGTACTGGTCTAGGACAACATCCCGACGTATCCATTTCTTGAACGAAACCTGGTTGAATATTTTCTTTTTCAACTTCTGGTGATACTGTACCGATTAATGAAATACATTCCTCCGGGGTCATACACTCTACAAAAATAAAGTATAAAAAAATTTAGATTGTTAAAATTTTTGTTTATCAGCAAGTCTTCAAATATATTGTATACTCACGACAAATAATTTTCTGACATCCATCAGGGTCAGTAATTAATTTCATAACTTGTCCGTAGCCACATTCTAATTGTTGCGGCTCTACACAAGTTGGTGGTATTGTTGGTACTGGAACTAAAAATAGACAATTAGAAGACCACTCAATAAATATTTTTTTTTAAATAATTAAATCTAACATACCACATAAATATTTCAAGCAACATTCGCCATCATGCCCAGGTACTTCTACTGGAGTGTAATTATCTTGACAAATAGTTTCCAACACCGGGCATTCGGTAGTCTGGCAGTTGACAACTTTATTCTTGCATGAACACGTAGTACATTTATCAGGATGCCAGACATCGCCTTCTACATGACCTTCATTATCACAAATGAAACATAGCTTCTCTGGAACACAAGTATCATTATGAAGAACATGATTTTTAGGACAGAAACAGCCTTCGGTTATTTCTTGAGAGCATTGTCTGGTATTAACGTCGTTGAGAGTTTCACAAGTTTCTAAACAACTTGGTCCGCATGCCTGGTACTCCAAATGCATTGGACACGAGTACGGACAGATGTCATTTGTTCTCCAACTCGGGCAAAGTCCGACATCTCGGCAGCTTCTCGCGTATGCTTCTATATCTCCACAAACATTGCCATTCTCACAATGAGTGTCATAACAAGAATGAATAAACGGTGTTGGATCGACTAAACTGTGACACTGACCAAATAATTCAGGATTTACCATAATTGCACATGGATCATTATTCGCCGGAGGTGGAGTACACTTTTTAATCGGCTGACTCGTACAGTCTTCAGCAGATAAAAATCTTGCATGCGGAATTCCAACTGCCAGCCAACTTGATCCAAATTCATCTATATTATTGGTGTACTCACCATTAGCTTTTTTAAAGTCTTCTTCATCATTTAAATTACAATTACCACAGAGACCCTCAGTAGCACCGCCAAATATGTGTGAAGGTAGTGTTATTGTAAAAGCAAAATTATTTCTGTAACTAGTAATTCCAAGTTGAATTGCAGAAATTAAAAATGCAACATCGTAGTTACCAACTCTTTCGAAACTCATCCACGAATTTTTATACGGCAAACTCTCGATTGCTTCACCATCTACTGTCAGTATAAAATCTTTAGAGTGTAACATTTGTTCAATTTGTACGTAGTGGCCTTTATAAAATACAGACAATGATTCAGTACAAACTCCTCGATCACACGGAACATTAGTCATTAAAATTCCATAAGTGTGATCTCCTGGTCCTATTTCGTTGTTACTTTTAGAAATATCTTGCGAGAGAACGTAAGTACAGTTACCAGTAAAAGTGAAGTTCTTTTTGTTGAAATTAACAAAATTAGCATTACCGAAGCCATTACAAACACAATCGCGACATTCACTAGGAGGAATACAAATGTCGCCCTTACGTACAGTACCATCAGGACAGAAGCATCCTGAAAAACAGACACCTTCCATCAGAGGACATGGCTCAATTTCTTGTAAGTTGTCACAACTTGTTTCACACTTATTGCGGAAACAATCTTTGTAAACGAAAGGTGCTGGACAATTAATTACACAATTGTGAATGTTTCTCCATGTTGATAGATCAATGTTAGTATCCGCTGCTTGACATTCAGAGGCAAATGAATTAAGTGCTCGGCATCGACACTCTTCGGATGTCATATTTCCGTTGATACACATACACGTTGACTCCAAGCAACGGGAAATCCATTTATCAACTGCTATAACATTTTTACAAACGGCGAAAGATCGGTCAGTGACAGAATTACAAATACTTCTCGCTTGTTCTAAAACGTAACGTGGACAATTTTGGTGCTCACATTCCGGAGTACCGTCCATCACCCAGCTGTCTCCGAAATCTTTTGAAGAAATAGCTTGACTGCCATCAGGCTTCTGACGATCATTTTTCATAAGTCCATCAAAGAAACCACACAATCCGTCGACGTGATGAGCCAACATTGTTGTAATTCCAATTTTTATATTTGAATTTTGGTCCCATATCACCCAAAATCCATACTTGGTAGATATGAAGTGTATTATATTACCAATGCGAGATATTTTAAATGTTCCCCTTCGATCGTGAAGGCGATTCACTTGCTTAGGTGTGAATGTATATTGATCAATATCAACATGCATATCTGGATACAAGAGAATCGTATTGCTGTCTACATTTATTACAAGAACTTGTATACAAGGTTGATTACGTTTATCACAATGTTTTTCCACTGAAAGTTAAATATTATTATACGTAACTTAGTATTTTTTTATATTGAATTTAGCAAAATAATTATATACTTACAAGTAATGAACCAGTTATTCTGATACATTTCTCTCGCCAAAATATGATTACAAATGTCGTATTTGTATTCTAAATTATCGAATGTATTAAATGTTCTTCCCGTAACATTGCAAACAACTTCAACTGGAGGTGGTGGTTTACAAATGTATTTTGGACATGCAACTGGTGTATACATACTCAAAGGTTCATAAATAACACGATAATTAGATGGACATTCAACTTTTGGACATGGTACTTCTTGTATTTCTTTGTCAAATATTGGAGGTGGTCGAGTAGGTTTGCAAGAAAATTGTTCGCACTCCATTTCAATTGATTTCGAGTCGTTAAATTTGAGAGAATCACTAAAAAAAAATAAATATTATTATTTTATTTCAAGTTTAATAGGATAATAATAATTACACAGAAGGAAAAAATTTCTTTTGAAAAAAATGGGCAATATTGTGACAAGAAATTAATTTGTTGAAAATTTCCAACAATTTTAATTCTTAGCTAAAAAAATCAAAATTTTTCCCACAGTAACTTTTTTGTTAAAAAAAAATTTTATATAGACAACTTGCAAATTTTCATCTAAAATTGTTTTTTTCCGAATCTAGAAAAATTTTTTCTATCAATAAAGTTACTGTGGGAAGAAATTTTGATTTTTTTAGCTAAGCAATAAAATTATTGAAAATTTTCAACAAATTAATTTCTTATTACAACATTCCTCATTTTTTTCAAAATAAATTTTTTTTCTCAGTATAGACATACTTTTTTCTTGGTTCTTTTATTGGTCTTTGTCTGCCTGCACCGCCCTTCACACCACCCTTAATTCCTCCTGTAATTCTTCCTTTAACACCTCCCTTGATTGGAGAATATGTACTTTTAGTTGGTGATGGTTTCTTCAAAGAAGCAAGTTTATATCCCTCTGGACAAACTGGTTTTTCACACTGCAATTTAGTAACTAAAAAAAAAAAAAGACAATTTGTAACTAATTTGAATTATAAACAAATTAATATCGATGTGATTACCTTTCTTTATCTCTATAGTAGTATAATTCACTTCAGTTTGTGTTTGGGATGTATGTGTACTGGTCGGATCAGGCAATTTTCCTTTGCAATTTGTTTCATCGTCCAAACAGTCTTTGACACCATCACACCAAGATGATTTTTTAATACAAATTTTACTTGTAGGACAAAGTACCATATCATCTGGACATGGTCTGCAAACACACCCACACAGTTCTGTGACAATTGATCGCATGTTTGGTTCATCACAAGGTTCGCATATTTTTGGTTGACAATCAGGTACTCCGCCCATTGCACATAAGCATTTCTGACAATCACTTGTTTCAAAAGTACTGCCAACTGAGTACGGTAGATGCTCAACAACACACGGACATAATTGTTTTTCAACGCATGTCTCTCCGTTCCACCAAAGTGATCCATTACATTTGCAATCCAGTTCTGCTAGATTTTCAAACATTGAATGACACACGTTGCATTTTGACTCAAGTTTTTTAATAGGAAGTGAAATAACTTTTTTATCATCTGAAAATTTGATTAATTATTAAAATTGATGCTTCGCATCATGAGTCGTGCAATTAAAAAAAAAAAAAAAAAAAAACTTACCATAAGGTTCATAACAGCCATGAATTTCTGCTTTGAGTCCTACATGTTCATGCCACTTAATAGGCTGGATTTTCAGGTACCGTGAACGAATAGGTTTTTCAAAATAATTTATCTTCGTTGACTGATCATCAAAATTACCCAGGAATATTTTATCTGTACCCTTAGAATTCAAAACAGGCAACCATTGACGTTCATTGTCACTGTAAAATACTTTATAAGCAGTTGTCCAAATATTATCTGCCCCTTTTGTTTCCACTCCAGTGAGATTACGATTATCCAAAAAGTCAAACTGTACAAATTGATTTGGATTATCTAGTGCGGCTTGCCATATTCCTGGTGATGAAAGTCGGATATTCGGAATAAGATTATCAAGAGTCGAAGAAGCGATTACTTGCTCTTCAACCATAATCCCACTATCCAGCCCCATAGCGTCATCACAAACCGGGTTATTTATTATTTCTTCAACAATTGGAGAAACTGTAGTTGGAATCGTCTCATATAATTTTGTAGATGCAACAGTTGTTTCATAAGTTGTCTGAGTGGTTACATGATCTTGGCAACCTAACAGATCAAGTCTTATAGCGATACCGTGGTGCCAGGTCTGAGGATTGATTCGAATAATTTTAGCTTCGATAGGTTCTGAGAAAAATTGTTTGACTGGAGTCGATGAATCTATCGGCCCTTGGAATATTTGTGGTTTATTTTGATTTTGTATAAAAGAGAACGTTTCACCATTTTGAGAGAACAAAACTTTATAACTAGTCACGTATTTATTTTCACCTGGATTTCCTTGCATTACAATCCCATAAATAGGTTCAAGTCTCGGAAATTTAATCTCAATCCATTGCTCAGAATCTATGAATTCTGGTTGCCAACTTTTAAAAGCAACTGATTTTATATGTGATGACTTTAATTTAGCAAACTCAGGTTTATAATGAATCCCTGCGATACTACTAGCGTTAAATATAACTTGTTCGTTAATTTTATGCGTGTCTAATAAACTTCTGTACTGTTTACTGACACACGGCTCCGCTGGCGAAACAGTATTGACTGTAATGATTGTATGATCTTCAATAGTAGTCGCAGCTTGAGTTGTCGGCGAAGTTGGCAAAGGCGGTGGTGTTGTAGTACAATAAGATTTATCACAGGTGTAATAATTCCGCAAGCATTGACAGCGTTCGCATTCAGACTCAGCAATAACCGCTCCAGGTTTCACCACTTTTCCGTCGTGACTTTTACACGGACAATCAGCTTCTTCAACACAACTATGAGAGTCTCGCCAATATTTGTGCGGAGGACAAATATCTTTGTCGTTTACACACCCAGGAATGCATTCTTTGTTATCTGAGCAAAGATTTTTCTCAGTCAAAATGTATCTGTAATGCTCACAAGTTTTGCTACATTGAATAGCACATTCGTCCCACCGCTCACCCTCTTTGCACTGAGGACTTTTTGTCGTAATTTGACCGCAATCTGGACGTAACTTCATTACATTATACGGCCAATCGCATATCTGCATCACTGGGTTGTACATCATATCAACTCCACATGTTTTCTTCACCAAGTGACCGCTCGGTAAACATTGATAGAATTCATGACAATCAGAAGGATGCGCCTGATTTGGATGATTTACATCGCAGTCTTCAGTCATCAAGGTGCTACCAGTTGTACTAGATAATTTAGGAGTAGCTGTTGTCTCTTCACTGCATCGACACAAAACGCTGATTTCAAAATCTTCGCAAGGTACCTTATCTTCCGACTGACAATAAAGACCGCGCTCTAAACTGCATTCAACATTCAATCCAGTTTCTTTGGGTGTTTTATGCCCATTTACAGTTCTACATCTGATGTCAATCATGTGTTCCTTGGAACAACGAGTGGAGTTTACTCCAAGAAGAGTTATCATTGACGGTAGAGGTTCAGTGTCAACAGCCGGTTTTGATTTATTGCCTTTTATAGCAGCAGTTGCAGTTTTCTTTGGCGTATACGTATTTATCCAGGCAGTCCAACCATCAATACACTTTTCTGATTGTTCCATTGGAACAGTAGAAGGTTCAATCGTTGAAGAAACACAGGGAGCGCCATTGCAGATAATTTTTCCCCGGCTGCAAAAGCATGTTTGACATGCATCACTACTGACTTTATCACCCTCATAATAAATAACTCCTTCAATTTCTAAACAAAGCGGTTTACATATAGCTTTTGGAACGCATTCTTTAAGAGTGCTATTCCGGTAAACTTCGCCTTCTGGACAAGATTTAGTGAGACATCCTTCGACACAAGTATCTTCAACGCACAACTTGGATACGTTGGTAAAAGTTAAACTGTCGCACGTTTCTTGGGGACAAGTTGATAAACAAGGAGAGTATGAACTGCAGCTTTCATCGCATTGCATAGGACATAGATCTTGAGATCGCCATTTTATAGGAATAGACTTTCTGTTGCATTCTTGAGCATACGCCGCTAAAGCTGTACACAAACATTCGCAGTCCCCGCCTCCGTCGCAGCCACATGTGTCAAAGATGCAGCGTTGAACAAACGGCTCAATATCAACTTCAGAATGACAAGGCTGGAATATAGAACTCTTCAACACTCCGCATTTTTGAATCGCCCAAAGCTTGCGTTCAGGATGTCTATCGCAAGTATCTGTAATATCTTTTGGTTCCGGACAGTAGTTGTCTTTCTTCCAAGAGTTGGCAAAAATACCAGCCGAGACTTCAGATATTCCACCAGAAGGAGTTTTAAAATCATCTTCACTATTGTTGTTATAATCTCCACAAAGACCTTTGGTTCTACCTTTCCACTTAGGGTCCAATTTAACGTACACCCGTGTTCCTTTGTCCCATTGTAATACTAATCCCAAGTCAGGTACGTCTACAAAGACAAACAAACCAGCGTGACGAATCGCTAATCTATTGAAAGAATCATTGGGAATAGATTTATCTCGTGTTAATGTAATTATTTCCTGGTTGTTACCATTTCCGACTTTAAGTGTTACAGATTTAGAGCATGAAACGCCAGTACTTCCACAAGGAACGTTTTGCAGTGAAATTTCAAACATTTCGTCCTTACCAAAACTCGCTTTTGTGAAAACGTAGTCACAAACCCCTTGGAAGTCATAAGTTTTGTCGTCAAATGTTTTAAAATGTGAATCACCCCATGCTGAGCATACTCCTGGACAAATTCGATCACTGCATTTCCAAGCACCTTTCTCACATTTGCAAGTATTGCAGTCTTCTTGCATTACAGAGCCTTCTTTGTAACTTTTGCTGCCATGGTAACAAGGGCATTTTTCTTCTTCTACGCAAACTCCGTTTGAAGAATCCAAAACGTAACCACTTTTGCAAGTGCATCCAGCATGACAAATAGCAGGAGTCTGCTTGATTGGTTCATGCATATTTCGACAAGTTCGTGGTTCAGCTGGCTCACAAGTAGTGACTTCAAGATTTTTACTAGCAGTGCAGACTGTTTTTAAATCAATCGTCGCTGGATATTTTTCTATGTCTTCAGTAGTTGCTAATTGACAAGCCCAATTTCCTCTAGCACAAGTACACAAGTCTTGGCCTTGTCTTCCTGGGCGAACTTCTTGATATCCGGCGTTGAATTCCATTCCGTTGTACTGACATGGACATTCTCCGATAGGAATACATTGACCTAGTGCGTTTAAAGTTTGTCCTTCTGGACAATTGCAGCCTTCTACGCACTCTTGACGACAATCTTGGTCAAAGGATATGTCACTACAAGATCGCGTACAACTGTTGCCACAAATTTGATATTCTTGACCAGCTGGACAGTGCAATTGACACTCTTCAATTTCCGTACGCCAGAGTATGTTAACGCCAGCTACAGCGCATTCTTTTGCATATGCCGAAAGAGTTGGACATAAACATCTTTCAATTTCAGCTTCACATGCGCACATATCATACTTGCAGTCTTCGTAGAATAAATTAGGGTCAACATGCCAGTGACAGGTTGAGAAAAGATCGCTCAATAATTTTGAACAATGTTTTTCCGCGGTCGTCAGTCTTTCCGGATTTATGTCACAAGGATGTCGAAAATCTTTCATTGGAATGTCAGTACACTGCTCACTGGTTTTCCATTTATTCGCAAAGGGAATTACTGAGTCTTCTACGTCACCAATCGGAGTTAGAAAATCATCTTTTTGATTAGCCGTAAAAGTTCCACAGAGACCTTTTGTCTTTCCTATTGTGTAAAATTGTAAATTAATTAATAATGTAAATAATTGGTGAATAGTAGTTGAGGGATGAAAAAATAATTACCGCGAAAATCTGCAGGAGCGTTGACATATACTCGGGATATTCCATCCCACCATATTTCTAAGCCATTTGGTACATTGACAACAATGAAAATGCTACTTGCAATTTTTATTTTTACTCCAGATAACATTACAGGAAGTTTTGTTACGTCTTCTCCGTTGATTAATACCTGATTATTTTGTTTTAGTTTAATCAAAATTTCATTCCAACGAATCGTTACAGATTTAGTACATGATGTTTCATCCATTGAAGATCGTGAAAGTCCCATTGCCTAGAAGATTTTTTATAAAAATATTTTTAGATTCGTGAAAAATATATCAATTATTAATTTAATAAATTTTATATTTACTACTACAACAATTTTTTTTAACTAAAATAAAATAATCTAACGTAAATGTCTACACTATTGATGATAATAATTTTTTTTTTGTTCAGGAAATTAAATTACCTCGGAAATAGCGCCAGCACATGCAATATTTTCCGTTTCAATACTGTAATTGTCACCTTTAAGAAGATAATAATTACATTGTCCCATAAAATCGTAGTGCTTTCCATCGAAAGTAACATAGTGAGGATCACCAACGGCGGAACATCTCGCTGAACACGTTACAGATGTACAAATCCATTTGCCAGCAGAACAAGTACAGGTATTACATTCTTTTGGAATAGTTGTTCCGGGAGGAAAGAATTTTCCACGTAGTGTACAAGGACATTCTTCGACAGATATACATTTTCCTTCAAGTAAAACAGTTCCTTCAGGACAGAAACATCCTTCCTCACACTCATTGTTCTCTTTGTGTTCTACAATGTCATTACTGCAAGTCGGTTGCGATTTCGGTCCGCAAGACTTATACACTTTACCTCCAGTACACGTCATTGCTATAAAAAAAAAATTATTTACTCGACATGCAAGAGAAATCATATTTTCTTTTAATTAAATACTGATAAAAAATTAACTTGATTTAAAATATAAATTCATGAACCAAGAATATCATTTTAAAGAGTTAGATCATCTTGAATCAAGTGAAAAAAATTTTCTTAAATCAAAAAAATTTTTTTTTTTAAACAAGTTTATTTTTTTATCAGTGTAGACTGCCGAGTAAAATGTTACATTAATAAATTCAAAATAGAAAGAACTTACGACAAGTTTCTTCACGTCGCCACGCTACTGAATCAATAACATGATCATGGAAACACTGTCGAATATAAACGCTCATTGTGTCACAAGCACATTGCTTCTTATCATTTTTCTTACAAGCACAGTAATCCCACTGACATGTACTCTGAAGTTTTGCTAAATCAACTATTTTAGAACAGGCTTGGAATCTGGCATCTGAGAATAATGTAGCGCAAAACTCTTCAGCTTCCATAGTTAGGTCATAAGCTAAGTCACAAGAGTGTTGTGTTCGCGGGTTTTCATCACAACTCTCTGCAAAAAAAATAAATAATTTTTAAAAATACATTCCAGTGACGCGAATTAGAATTAAAAAGTAAAGTATTTACCACCGATATTCAAAACTTTCCAAGTGGAAGCAAACGCGGCAGTATTTTTCGAATGACTGTAATCTTTTCCAGTTTTATCATCTTCAGGATATCCATTCATTCTACCGCACAAGCCAGCTGTTTTATTCCATAAAGATTCTGAAGCTTTAACTTGAACAAAGAGACCACCGTCCCATTTTAAACTTGCACCCACAGTGTCTAAGTTTACAATGACAAAATGCGCAGACATTTCTACTCTTACGCCAGATAATTGCGCCGGAATCGGTAGAACTTTTTTAACCGTCCGAAAAGTTGGTAAACCATCTTCATTTAAAAGTAAAATGAACTCTTTTCCTTGTAAAAAGAATCTAATGATTCTTGAACAGGTGCCTCTGTTATAACAATCAGGATGGTTCTGTATAGTTATTGTAAATGATCCATATTGAGTTTCTTGGATCAATGTATGTGCGCAATTACTTTCAAAACTGTAAATTGCACCATCGAATGTTTTATAATGAACTCCTCCCCATGAGAAACAAGTTTTTGATTCTGGTTTTTTTTCTTCAATTACTAAAGAGTTTTGGTCTATTGTAGAGTGAGTATGAGAAATTTCATCCTCATATTTTTTATTTATAGATTCTATTGAAACATGACCAGTTTTTACGCCCTGTAAAACGAAGAAAGTATATAAAAAATCCCTAAATCCCTAAATCAATAATTTTATGAGATAAGTATGAAATTTACTTACTTTTGTTTTCATTGTCAACTTTCCATTACCTTCAAAATTCATAAAATTTCTTAGTTCATTGCGATAAGATGAGTGTGACATAGATGTATCTTCAATAATCCATGAATGATTAGTGATTTTAAAAAATGAATTCTTACTACTTCCAATTGGAACAATCTGGTAATCTGGGCCATTTTTACACTGAGGTATTGGTTGAGGCTCGAATACACCTTTTTCATAAGTACAAATATACTCAGCAGCCGGAGCAAATGAAAATTCAACCTCTTCTGGACAATTTAGTGTACAAGCAAAGTAATCAGCTTCACCACGACAATGATATCCGCCATTGAAACCGAGTTTCTGTGGCGTACAAGCATCCGCCGCTGTAATGTCATTTGTTTGATAAACTAATCTCTTATCTTTATTATATAATTTAATTAAATTACTCACAATATTGGCATTGAGGTCCACGGAAATCTTGTGGGCATTGACAAGTATTCAAAGTTAAACAAATACCGCCGTTTTCACATGCTGGTGAGCAAGTAGCTTTAAAAAAATTACAAAATTAAGTGATCAGTATTGATTGTTATTTTATGATGAAATATGAATGATGATTCAAGTATAATTTTAAATATACATGGAGCAATTCATATTATTATTATTCCATAGATGATAAAAGTATAAATAAAGTTGTGGATATTTTTTGTATTTATGTACTACACAGTAAAAAATTTTGTGTTAAAAATTTTTGTATTAAATTAACACAGAAAAGTGTTAAATTAACACAAAAAAGTGTTAAATATTTAACATAAAAATTTTTAACACAAAATTTTTTACTGTGTAGTACAACACAAAAAAGTGTTAAATATTTAACATAAAAATTTTTAACACAAAATTTTTTGAGGTATTGACGCAAAATTTTTTACTATGTACAAATTAAATAGTTTAGAAAATACTTACGTTTACAATCGGGAATAGAAACCCATTCAGTCCTTGTAGGTATCCAATTTCCATCCCGGCAAATTAAATTAGTAATTGATGAACCATCGGGAAAAGTGAAATTATTCATACATGTAATCGTACAAGTTCTGTAAAATATTTTAATTGTTAAAGAAGATATAATAAAACAAAATTTGCACACTGATAAAAAATTAATGTGATTAAAAAAAAAAAATTCATGAGCCAACATCATATAATTTTGAAGAGTTTGATAAACTTGAATCAATTACAACAATTCTTGATTTAAAAAATTATTCTTGATTTAAGAATTTTTCTATTTGATTAAAGATATTCAAATTCTTAAAAATTATGTTCTTGGCTCAAGAATTTCTCTCTTGAATCAAATTAATTATTTTATCAGTGCATTGAAAGAAAAAATACTTACTTGGAATTACAGTGCCTACGCGCACCGAGTACAGGCGCTGGAAGATTCAAGCAAGGCTTTATTTCATATTGGCACTGAGGACCAGAAAAATTTTCCGGACACCGACATTCATTTGGAGCAACGCAAATTCCATTATTGTAACATTGAGGTAAGCAAATAGCTAAAAGTGATAAAAAAAATTCATTATTATTGATTCACGATCATTAAATTATTTTATAAAAAAAATACTTACGCTCGCAATGAGGTATAGTGTTCCACTCAGTACCAATAATTTGCCATTCATTCTGATGGCACGTTACAATAAGCTGAGTTTCTCCATTCGGGAATTGATAGTTTGGATTGCAGTTTGCTCGACAACCTCTTTAAGCATAAATTAATTTATAAGAAAAATCTAAAAAACGGTTGAGCCTGCAGGCCATCTCTGGAACCTGATATATTCAAGCTTAAAAGGGTTTAAAAATTTCTTTATGAAATTTTGAGCTCAAAAATGTGACTAGTATAAATTTTCGAGATCTTCAAGCTATTTGCTCGAGCATAAAACGTGAAGATCTGATGAGAATTCGATTTTTTAAAATTAGGGTGAAACCAATAACTTCCGATTTTTCGGAAATCATTGATTTTTACAGCGGGAAGTTAAAAATAAAATTAATAATAAATTAAAAAATAATTACTTGATAGTTGAACATTCAATTGTTCCATAAATGGGAGCCGGTGGATGTTCTATACATCCTCCATTGTAGTTTGTACTCTCAATTGATTCACTTTTTATTCTGAAAAAAATAAAAAAGCATTAAAGTTAATTAACAATTGAAATTTTAAATTTTAAATAGTTAACTGGTACGACTTACATTGTATTTGAGTAATAGGTGTCAATTTTGGAAATATAACTATCGTCAGCTAATGCACTGATAATTTTAAGAAATACAAGAAAATATTTTAGCGACATGATTATTAACTATCATAAAAAAATTCTATCCATTTGTATATAATATAACTTTTTTTTTTTTATTATACACGGACTAAAATTTTTAACTTGTCCTCATCTAGAGTTTTTAAATACATATAAGACGCAGCATCAACACCCGAGAGTATTTATGCATCAGACGAAGGAAACGGATAACTGATACTGTGAGAACGCTTCTGATAAATTTGACTAATTAAAAAATTAGGTCAACCATATAATAATTTATTAAAACTATGTTATTGTGACACTCGGGACTTTTTCTCGATAAGATTTATGGTTTTTCCATTTATGACGGTTGAAAATTACATTTAAATACACAGACAGGATGATAAACTATATCGGTGAATGAATTTATACATGACAGTTCACTGATGAATGTTTACTCATCTCATGACTGTAAAAAACCAAAAAAAAAATAATATTTTGTAGTTTTTTGATAGTTGAAAAAATTCAAACATTTTATTATTAATTATTGATATAAAAATTAAATTATCAATTAAAAGGTGTCGGTATTAATTTGTTTTAACATACGATTAGATAAACAAGTCGGCGCAATATTATGAATCCAATTATTCATGTTTATCTTAAAGGAAACTTTTATCGAGTCATTAGTAGTTGGTTTACAAGTAAATAATGAGAAGATATTTTTGGACTTTATTCTCTTTATTATTAACGAATGAAAAACAATTTTCTTTTTAAATCATTTTTTGTATAAGTTTTGTTAAAAACTAAAAAACTTTGTAATTTAAATTTTTCATCAAGAATTGTTAGACCATTTAAAAATTTTCCGTAAATTTAGTAATTTTTTAGTATACAAACATTTTAAAATTCAATATCAAGTTTATGAAAAAAATTAATAATCTATGCCTGGGTAATATTACGATATTGCCTTGTACGTTTAAAATTTATTTATTAAGTTTACTAATCTTTCTATGTATATGCTTAAAAAATTAGCCTATTATATATTCAACAATATAATGGTAAAATTACAAGACGAAAATACGCTAAAATAAAATACCGGATTTTATAAAAAAATCTAACTTTCGTACACTAAACTTACAAAATTAACGATAAAATTAGAAAATTCTAAGTAAATTTTTGTAATATTGATACATAATTATGAAGTTTTAGTAGATATAAAATGACATTTTTATTTACAACCGTCTTTTCTATTTTTACATATCCAAGTTTGTAAAATTACATGAGGTCCATTTATCATTTTGACCAATTACGATTTATAAAAATAGAAAAATGTTGTAATAAATTTTTTATAACAGTCGACATAACTCAATTGTTTAAATAAATTTTAGCAGTTTTCAATTCTTCACAGTTAGCATAGCTTCTTTTCTATTATTTTATTATTTTTATTATTCTCTGATAACTTTTAGTGATACTGAATTTAACAGACATCTAACAATTTTTTAGATTTTTATGACAATTAAATTAAAATCAAAATTAAAATTAAAATAATGAAGAAAATTTTACATGTAGAAATTAAAAAAAATTAGAAGTGCGGATTTTTATAAATATTTTTTTTATAATCATTGATTTGTTATGAAAATTTCAAGAATTTTCAGATGTCTGCTAATTTCAGCGTCATTAAGTTTTCAAGGTCTCTAAGTAGATTTATTTGGATATTGTACAGCAGTAAGAACTACTTTTTAAAATTTTTTCATCACATTAATTTAAGTTAAACTGCATGTTATAAAATAAAGCTTTGGTTCTAACACCAATTGACACTTACATACTTCATGTTATACTATTTTATACTAGAATTGAGTTTCTTCAACTTACTAAGTAAGCTCATCGATTAGATTTAACCACAGATGAAAATAATAAGTCAAATAGACTTATCAAGTCAATATCAGTTAATTATAGTCAAAGTACAAAATTCAAATTGTTAGCAAATCGAGTCTTTTATTAAAATTGTTAATGTAAATAACTCATCAAATTTAATTGTACAGTAGTCGTTGAAGACTTTGGTAATCATATAGCGACTTATAAATAAATAAGTATTTTATACTAGGTTTTAAATTTAATCCAAAATTTATGAATAGAGAATTTCAAGGTAATAAGTATTTTTACGTTCTTTGATCATAACATAATTGCAAAATTGCTATTTAATATTAAAATGACAAAAGAATTACCTAGCATCAGAATATTTCTATTTGAAGCTAAGTAATGGGATGGTGGTCGCCCACTGAGCAGATGCACGCGTGACTTGGAGTCATACTGGTGTATCTCGTTTGATTTAATCAACAGGTGGTCTGTTATGTGCTCTTTATCCCACCAGGTAAGGGAGTGCATTACGCTCCCCCCGGTGAGATCCATCCCCTCCAAGTGGTAAGTACGGTGGTGAGCGCCCTAGTTAACTAATCCTAGTACGCAGACATCGTCTTCGTGATACGTTTTGTGTGATAAACCTTTTATGTTCATTTTTCTTTCCGAACTGTCTTTCGGGCACCCCAATAAACCCTGCAGTTCTATCTTTAATCAACTTAAGGCATCGATAACATCTGTACGATGGTTGAGAATCAGAAGATATTTCAATGAACTGCGACATCAGCTAGTCCTTCGGGCGGTAAGATGATTTCATCAGCAGAGAGACCGAATTCCGGACTTCAGAAACTGCCGAACCACAAGGAGTCTCTGGATCCCTGACATGACTACGTCAGATGAACCCGACATTCTAATAGTTCCTTTTTTATATATAAAATCTATAGAAAAGATGAGTACATACAAGAAACATTAATTTAATGATACATCACTGTTTTTAGGGAAATTGAAGTTAAAATGGTATTTTTTACAGTCTAGATATTTTGTTGGACCTAAGTATAATTTTTAATCTGTTCCATGAACTTTTATTATAATTTTAAATAAAAATATTGTGCTGGTTTGTTAATTTATTGTTTTATTAGATTTAACTGTTTAATTGATAGTTTTTTTTTATTTATAAATATGATATAATATAATGTAAAAATAAATTTATTTATTTAACTATTACTCGCACTTTCTAAGATAAAATTTTGAACTTGAATTAAAATTATGTTAACTTTATTGAGTTTAAATTTTAACCATTTAGAGTTAATGAAATAATTATTAGTAAATTTCTATTTAATCAATATTTTGATACATTACGAAGAAAATATAATTTAAAAAATATCTTAGAGCTGGTATGAAAAAAAAATGTAAAAAAATTATTGTTTTAAACAGAAAATTTTTGACATTTAATAAACTCGGTAAAATTTTAAGTTTCAATCATGATTTTTATATTCAAAAGTGTGTTTCTTCAATTGAAAATTTTTAAAGTCAATAAATAATTTGAAACAATTCACAGTTAACTAATGAACAATCCTTTTATTGTGGAATGAATGAATTTCTGTTGGATTCTCTGAGCAAAAATAAATTCCTGTTACAAACTTTTAGTTTTATATTTTAGATATTTTGTTCTTAGTAATGTTTATTTTAGAAAAATAACGTATTTTCTTTTATTAGTTTTTAAATGTGAAAAACACATATTAAAATGACACTGAAGTTAGAAGACGTGTAAAAATTTTTTATTTTTTTTATCAATTAAATTACAACTAAAAAGATATTTCTAAAAAATTGCACTTATAGTTTTTCAAGTTTTTTACATGTGACAATTTTTTTTTTTAATTGTTTAATTGAAATTTTTTCAATAAAAAATTTCTAAAAATTTTGAAATGTCAGCTAACTTGATTTTCATATATTTCATATATTAAAGCACATTTGTGCAGCTAAAATAAGAAAGCCTGTATATAGGCTTGATTTTATGACCTTAGGTACTTGAGTTGTACAAAGGACTCCTTATTTTACACTGTACAGTACAATCAAATATTACGGTCTTAGTTAAAGGACAATTCAGAGGGTTAGACCTTACAATAAAATAGTTTTAACATTATAGTTAGTCTGCGACTAAACTCTGTACGATTCCTTTTTAAAATAAAGATTCTATTTAAATCACTCTATGTGAATAATAAAATTGTTTTTCTCTCTTTTTGTTATTAATCTTATCCATAACTTCCTACAATTTCAAATCATGAAATGCTTTTTTTTTTTTTCAATTTGATTTTTGTTATTTGCTAAAAGAAATAAATTATTTTGTAAGATATCAAGATATGAACAGAGTTTATGATTATGAATTTAAAACACATAAATATTTTTTAAATTGTAAATAATTTAATTAATAGTTAAAAAAAATTATCATTTTAAAAAATGCACTTACAGATTATTTATTGTTCGATAATTGCATTTCTTCATTTTCAACTTCTTTCTATTTTATTAATTATAAAAATTATTTAATGCGTACAAGATTCACAGTCATGAACAGTTTTTCTTTAAAAAATGATAAAATATTTATTGTAATTAAATACATACTTGTTTTATTTTCATCCCTGATAGTATCGAATTTTAAATTTATAATTAATGCAACCCGAGGGATATGGAAAGTCGATACATCGAACTATACACAATCGATATCAGCGCCAAAACAGAAAAACATCAACACTACACCATGTCACGTGTATGACGCTGTACAAAACGCCGCAATTTGACTCTTTCATTCCCTTCAGGTTCAGACCGGTCCATTGTTTTCACTGTACTCGTTACGCTCAGACTGATTAGATTCATCATGAAAATAAGTATTGTTACTGAAGGTAAAGATTAAAATGATTTAAACATGTGTATCCTTTTAATTACTATGTATATTTTTATGAAATAATCATATAATTTTTACTAATGAATATGTTATAAATCTCATGTAAAATTAAAATTAGCCGACATTTTATAAACTTTGACTTTTTTATCAAATAAAAATTCTAATGAACAATTAAAAATTTTTAGATGAAAAATAGATATTTTTAATTATTCACGTCAATTAACAAATTAATATATTATAGTGAAATCAACCGACATCTAAGAAATCTCTAGATTTTTATAACAAATTCTGAAAAAAATTAAGTAAAAAAAATCCACAAAAATTTAAGAGAATTTCAAGTGAGAATATTTTTAATTATTTTTTTTATGACAATTTATTTGTTATAGAAATTAAAAAAATTAACAGATGTTTGCTTATTTCAGTAGGTATTATAATTTAATGAAAATTGAAATTTTTTATAATTTATTTTATTGAAAAATAATTAAAAAAAAATTGAAACAAATATTTTACATGTAGAAAATTTTAAAAATTATACGTGGAATTTAAAAAAATAGTTGTTTGGTTCTAATTTTTAATTAATAAAAAAAAATCAAAAATATTCGAGTGTCGTCTAATTTAATTTATTAATTTTACAGATGCGGAAAATCCAGAAAATGTCAGACACAGTAACGTCAGGCTAAAGTTTCTACACCAAATATTACAGTGGAAGCCCCAATGGTTCTTAAACAAAAACGCAACTTCGATTTTTACATCATTGAAATTGACTCAACCAAAGCTATCATATGAGAACTTTGAAGAATATTGCCAGGTACAGCTTCCTTTATTAGTTTATGAATTTTGGAACGACTTAGTCGAATTTCACAGCACTCTCGATGATAACGATGAAGTCAAGTAAGTATTTCAATGCAAATTACGTACTTTAGGTATTTGAATTAAGTTAGCCGACATCTAAAAATTTTCATAATTTTTTTTATTGAAAAAATTATTACAAAAAAAATTTTCATTTGTAAAAAACTTGAAAAAACTTTAATTTTTAAAAAATATTTTTTTGTTCCAATTTAATAAATAAAAAAATTAGAAACGTCGGCTAACTTTAGTATTACGCTTTACGTTATATTGGTATAATTATTGTTTTTTTTTTTTTTTATTTTAGACCACAAAGTCTTGAATTGTTCAAGATTCCATTGTTTAACAGATGCTTAAAAGTAAATCCCGACGATGATACAAACGATCGGATTTATCGTTTTAAAGCAAGGGCAAAAATTTCATCGGACACTAATGTTTGGTTTCCACGTCACAGTACTTTGATAAAATTTAAAAATCCCTCAGCTGAAAATCAAGAACAATATGCGTATATAGATTATTTAACTCGACAGAAAGTAGAAGGTGATCATTTTTTCAAGTACTGTTAAAAATTATTTATTAAAAATTAAATACTGTAAATCAAATATTATATTATTTACTTTTTTTATTTTTAGATAAACCTGAATACGAATTATTGTATGAATTAGTAACAAAGTATATGAGAAAAAACAACATTCCAGATTCAATCGTTGTCGAACCAGTAAAGATGAAAATTTCACTTACTTTAAATTATCTTAATTCTTTAGTACTTTTGGAAAAATCCCCACTGTGTGTAGCTATTCTAAAACCAACATTTAATGACCATGAATTTTCACCGATTAATGACAAAGATCAAATCAAACCAGTGACAAAGGTAGTAGTGTAAATTCAAACAATTGTTTAAGTATAAAAATTTATTGATTTGGAAATTTTGACATTGACAGGATAAATTGGATTCAAAACAATTAGAAGCCATGGCCAGGATTGTTAAGACAGTAGAAGACAAAAAATCTAAAATATGCTTAGTCTCTGGTCCTGCGGGTACTGGAAAATCTAAACTTATTATCAATAGCGTTTTATCGATGCTGAGCCGAAAAAGTACTGATCGCATTTTAGTTTGCGGGCAATCAAACCTAACGATTGATTCAATTGTTTTACAACTTTTAGATGAAAAGTCTGCAATGAAAGGTAAGATTAATATAATTTCTTAGATTTTTTAATAATTATTGACCCGAAATGTTATTTCCAGAAAAAGGTATAGAATGCAAGGTTCTTCGTCTGGGTCCAGAAGAAAAAATGAATGAGTTGGTAAAACCGGTATCTTTTATTTCTCTCACGGTACTATTTTTATATTATTGAAAATTTAAATATCAAGGATTATAAAATTGATGTATTAATTTTTTGTGATTGTAGAAAAGCGTTGATGCGAATAAAAAATCAGAGTATATCCAAAAACTCATGTTGAACTCAAATGTCATCGTCAGTACACTGATGTCTTGTCGAGCAGCGTATTATAGAAATCATTTACAGTAAGATTAAATTTTTTTTTTTTTTTCTAATGTGATTGATCACTATAATTTTATTTTTATTTACAGAGACTTGAATATTTCAGTGTGCATAATTGACGAAGCTTCTCAAGCCTCCGAATTGGAAACATTTTTACCTTTGAAATTAGGAGTAAGAATGTTATTCTTGGTTGGCGATCCACACCAGTTTAAACCTAGAGTACATTCTGAGGTATGTTTTAATTACTACTTATTATTATTATTACTGTCTTGAATTATAAATTATAATCAATATAATTTAATGCAGGAAGTGATGAAGGTATTGAATTTGGACAAATCCTTCTTTCATAGAGTGCACAAAATATTTGAAAAGAAAGATAAAACTCCGATTTTATCATTGAATACACAATACCGTATGACAAAAGCTATTTCTCAATGGCCCAATCATTATTTCTATAAAGGAGTATTAAAAAATGAAGCGACAGTACAACCTTTAGGAATTTACAAGTACAAATTACTTAATCATTCGTCACCAGAAGAAGAAGATGGTCTTACAAACATTGGGGAAGCCAAGCTGATAGTTGATATCACTTATGCCTTACTGATGCTTATGGGTTTGGGAAAATTTGATTTTAAAGTTAGCTTGGGTATTATTACACTCTTTGAAGAACAACGTGATTTAATAATAAAAATGTTTGATCAGGAAGAAAGGTAAAAACAATTATTTTTAGTGTCAAGAAACTGAAGTTATCAATTAGATAAATAATTGTAGAGTTTTTATTGAAATATTTTTGTTATATTTTTTTTTTCAACAGATTTAAATCCATTAGTAAGGAGCGTAGAGATAGAATGAATATTAAAGTTGTTAAAATGTCAGATTGCTTTCAAGGTTCACAGTGCGATATTATTATTCTTTCATGTGTTCAAAGTAAACCTACTGATCATATTTATGACCCTCACAGAATTTGTGTTAGTTTGACAAGAGCAAAGCACACTTTGATTATATGCGGCAATTTGACTAAATACAAGGTAAAATTATTGTTACTACTATCTTACAATTATATTATTGAGCCTAAGAAATTCAAAGATTGATAAAAATCTTTGTTTGAAAAATTTTTTATGTGTATTTTATTTGATTAAAAACTTTGATTTACAGGAAAATGCAATGTGGAAAGATCTATTAGATGATGCAGAAGATCGTGATGCTCTTCTGGATATTGAAGTCGATCAACTTGACAAGCCTAAAAATATTAAGTGGTTACTCATTCCGTGTAAACAAATTATATAATTAAATATATAAAGTTTACTCATCATAATACTTAAATTAAGTATCAATATTTATGGATGCATAAATAATAATTTTGAATAGATTATATTGATAGCAACTAGCAACTAAACTACGTATTAAGATACGTATTAAAATAATATTTTTATATTAATATTGAATATTATATCGTGATTATATGTTATAATAGTAATGGTAAAAATTATTACCACTCGGTTTGCTGAATAAGAATTTTTGATTTACAAAAAGTTGCCTGTTTGATAATATTTAGAACTAATGATGCATCGTGTTCTGTGAAATATTGAAAATAGGTACAACTAATATTAAATAACAAATTTATTATTTTTACGTTTATGACTGTATTTTTATAGTAAAAAGATTTATCTTACAGTAAAAAATTATTATAAATGTGTGGAAAATAAAAGAATGTAGAATTCAAAAATTTATAATACCATGAAGCGATTCTTTATTAAAATCAAAATATTATTATCTATACGATGTTCAATGTCATTCTAGATTAAAGATTTTAATTCATATAACTAATTAAATTTTTTTTTTACTTGATTGATTTAATCTTTATTAATGACTGTCAGTGTCAGACAATAACATCGTATTTTTTTTTATCATTAATTTAATAGCTTCGCTAATGCACATCAATAATTACTTAATTAAAAATGGATGATACTCAGAAACGATTTCTTTAATTGGAGAATCTGCTTCTTTGTTAATAATATTAATTCTATAGCTTTGTTTACAAATTCTGGTTTTCCCATTTTTAACAATGAGGATTAATATAGATAAATAAAATTGAATGATAACAAAAAAAATTTAGTTTCTTATAAAGATTAATGATTAAAAATTGAATAAATCCTTACGATTATCTCAGTTTGATAAAAAAAATTTTTTTTTTGCTTCGAGATTTATTTTGCTTTTAAAATTTTGAATTAATTCAGCTATTTTTTTTTGATTCAAGTAATAATAAAATTTAATAAGAAATCCGTTCCCAAGTTCGTTGTCCCCACTACCATTATTTCTTTGTTTTAATAGTTTTTTTATGCAGTGATTCCTATTTATAACATTAAATACATTAAACTTGTGGACCGACCTATTAAAGAAGTAGTTTAAGTTGGGACAGAAAGTTTATATAATAGTGGGGTGCTAGATACATATATAAAGCACAATTCCTTTCGATTAAATATTTCTTTTAATTTATTAAAAATATTTAATATTGATTCATGACATTTTATTCAAATGGTAGGATTCTTCTTTTTACAAGAGATGTCTTATTTTTTCTTTCTTGTCGACTTTCGTTATAGAATTAATAAAATTTCAACCTTACCGCGTAAAATTTTTTACACACATGTTTTCTCATGATAATTTACCGGCTACTCACGAAATAGTTTGCTTGTCATTCGTTAGGATGCAGTTAGTATTCTTCCGAACGTTAACTTGACACCAGCGGATCCAATCTCAGTTTTTTAACTGAAATAAAAAATTACTAAATAAAAAAAATTTTAAAAATACTTATCAAAAAATTTTTGATAATTTTACATAAATAAACTGAATGATTCTACATTTCTAAGGATAAATTCACATTCGACTGGATATTAATTTTATAACCTAATTTTAACAAGATAATGAACAACACTTGCTAAAGACAATTTTAAGTCAATATAACCTATAAATAAATTTCTTCATTCAGGTAAATTTCTTAATTTTCAATATATAATTATTTGTTACAGATTTGCCATTAATATATATTTTTACTCCAAAAAAAGTCAAATATCTTATTTTGAATCAAAATTTTTATAATTTTTTTTTACTGAAAAAATGATTACAAAAAATAACAACAAATTTTCATTTGTAAAAAACTTGAAAGACAATCCGTAAAATTTTTTAAAAATATTTTTTAGTTCTAATTTAATAATTAAAAAAAATAAACTAGGTTAAAAAAAATTGCATTTATAATTTTTTAGAGCTTCCAAAGATGAAATTTTTTCAAATAAATTATTATTGCTATAATTTATTTGTTAGAAAAATTTTAAAAATGATCAAAAGTCTCAATTTCAGTATCATCGCTTATAACAAAGAAAATATCGACTTCCTAATGATTTTTTTTTTTTTTAATAAATGAATTAAATTTTTCATTGAAAAAAAATAACTTTTAATATATTAACGTATTTATTTAACAATTAGTAATTTGTATAATTCTAAATTAATAAATTTATTTTTCTTGTTTCAGTATTTAAGAAGATAATTATGAACTTTGCGTACTCTAAAACGAATGACATTAAGTGTCGATGGGAAATCCCTTCAAAAAACAACTACCGCAGTGTTAGAAATTATTTCATGAAACCTTTAGAATACTGTCTTATCACAGTATCGATGGACTACGAGGCATCGTGCTCAGATATTATAATAGAAATAAGTAGAGAATACAAAATAGTTCCTGGAACAGTTGCAGTTGAAGTTTATTCAAACAACAAAATAAAATACTCTGAGATAATTGATCACTGGTTTGAAAATGGTCTTAATATTTTCGTCCCTAACAACTGTAGTAAAGATGATAATGAAAGTTCCTCTGATAGCTTCGAAAGCCTAGAAGACTCTCATGAAACTAATTACTTGAGAGTATTGTGTGAAATAAAGTGGCTGGGATGCACAAGTGATGTTTGTTTATCTTGTCCGTTGGTTAACAATTACTTAAATAATTACACCAATGATGACTTTAAGAGCTTCTATTTGGACCGTATGCTGAGCGATGTGGTGCTGGTAGTTGATGATGAAGAAATAGTTGCACACAAAGTCGTTTTATCTGCTCACAGCCCAGTTTTCTTGGCGATGTTCCAATCAAATATGAAAGAAGCCCGTGAGAATTGTATTACCATCGAAAATATCAGTGTTGATGTTATGAAAGAAGTTCTGAAATTTATGTACACTGGTACAACTGAAGCCGAAGAAAACTATGAGCTGGCATTGAAAATTTTAGATGTTGCGGAAAGGTATCAAATATTAAAGCTGAAGAACTTTTGCGGGGCAATAGTATTTAGATACTTGTCGCTTAATAACGTTATTTCTATTGCTATTGAAGCAGAAAAATACAATGCTGATATTCTACGTCAAATGGCCATTCAATTAATCGTTAAAAATATTGATACTATCGTTTTTTTGAATGATTACAAGCAATTAGGATCGACGCATCCAGGTTTGATGTCTGAAATAATAAATTTGTTGAAGTAAATTAATTTTATCTTTTATAGCACTATATAATTGATCAAACTTTAAACTGATGGTTATAAAGTTATAAAGAATGAAAGTAAAGTAATGATTAATTAATATAAATTTTTGGTCTGCTGTGATAGTTAATTTATTGGCAATACTCCAATGATGTTTAATTAAAGAATGTTGTCAGTCAAATGCATTAAAAACTTTATGATTAAAACTGGCCTAAAATTTATGTTATTTAAACTATTATTACCAACTAAAGATAGAAATTGAAAAAAAAAAATTGTTTAATGTATTTTTTATTTTGATACTTTGTTTTTGTATTTTATTTAATGTTTTTTAGGATATTTTTCTAAGGGATTTAATATTTATTGTTATTAATATTTAAGATTTGATAATTATATTGAAGTATTTTATTGAAATAAGATTAAAATTAATATTCGGAAAAATCGTAAGTTCTAAAATAAGTAGTATTTCAATCAGTATAGTAGCTAATCTAGCTGTTCTCGTTTCATATTGATGTATATAATGTTTTTTTTTTCTTTAACCAAGATTTCAAAAATAAGAGGACGATATTGAAAATAAAATAAGTGGATAATGAAAATCAAAGAGAACTTATTTACTGTCATTAGTCATTTTATTAATAATTTTACATAATATGTTTATAAAAAATATATACATATATGAATACATAGGCTGTAGAAAAAAAAAGTCTTTTCTTTTATATAATAAAATAATTACAGTCGATTACAGTTCATAAATTGCTCATTATTAATCAATAATCATTTTGATATGGTATATTACAGTTCCAATATACAATATAATATCTAGCGATTCTTCGAAATACGACGTTCGGTTTTACCCTCCAGGATCAAATGGCCGTCATCAGAGATATTGTAATCTAGTAAAAGATAATTACAATTTAATTAGTTTACAGTTTTAAAATTTTTTTTCGATAAATTGAATCATTTTATTGCTGCAAACATAATTTTCCTGACGATGGGTATACGCATAGTCTGCGTAGGAGAACAGGTTTCTTCATACTGAACTCCAGTAAAGATGTTGATTGCAATAATGTCAATCTTTCGATCTTGTCGACCAGTTTTTTAAGGAATTATGTTCATAATTTCAAAAAGACGACATTTCAATACAACATACTGTTTTTTCTCAATAAATTTCAGATGTAACAAAAACCGAGTTACAATGAAAATAAAAATCTTTTCTCCATCTAATTTTAATACAACATTGATTATCAAGTAAAAAGTCTTTGCCTGACGCTTGATAACTTTGTTAAAAACCGATATTTTTTCATTATTTCATCTTTTATTTCCTCCTTGTGATTGTTACCAAAAATGATCTTAATTCTTTCTAAATAATGATTTTCAGTAACTTTATAGTTCGAGTCATATACAAACTCATCAAGATAATTTTCCGGATCGAGCTGATGAAATATTTCAAATGCATGGATGATTTGGAACTTTTTTCCTATTTCATCAACTTTTCTTGAACTAACTTGATTATAAATGTCACGCGTTGCAAGAAATCCATCAACCATACAATTTGTTTGCTTATCAAACCGATCTGACATCCTGTACTCCAAAAGTAATGCCAAAAGTATTTCCCTATGTTTAGTGTCCAATTTCGCTGAACATATCAACAAGATAGTCACAGCCAACTGTATAGACCCGTTTGTTGGATTAGTCAGCAAATCTATCAGAATTTGACGCACTAAACATTCGTCCGCCACATATTGATGTAATAAGAAGCTTATGAAAATGGCGGGAGGTGTCTTTAATTCAAGTGAATTCTTCTGTTGTCCTTGCTGGTATCGCCCGATCAATCTTCGCAACAGCAGATCTCCAATAATAGGAAACACCATATTCACACTAGCAAATAAGGCTGCGTATACGGGTGTCGACGGTATACAATTTTTTTGAGCTTCGATCACTGTTTTGATGAGAACTCCTCTTCCTCGGTAGATATTGGTTAGAAACAACTTTTTCGCCACGTGTTGTATATTATCCAAATTAATTTCGCTTATTTTGTTATTTATAGTGTTCTTCATTTCATCCCAAGCATTTCGCTGATATTCTTCATTTAACATTGAAACACGCTCCATTTTAAAACTGGTATCTGCTTTATTCTTCAATGAAAAAAACGTAAGAACAAATTTCAAAGATTGAGGACAATAATTACTCTCAAAAAGTAAGAATTTTCTGTTCTCACAAAAAAAAAAAAAAAAAAACACTTATGTTATAACAAATGAAATCAATTTCACTGTTTCTGTATTAAACGTCTGAGACTTTGGTTACTTTTGAGTGGCTTTTAGTATAACACGTGGGAAAATTCTACGATCTTTACTAGAGCAATGCACTAGAGCAACTGAAGAAAGTCTACCTTAAAAGGGCGTTTCCAGGTAGCAGTCGTGCTCAACTTTTAAGAAGATTCTCTCTATGTTAAGTACTACTAGTAAAATCAAAACTAGTTGAGGTACAGTGCACTATCTCGCTTGCGCTCGCATGCGCAGAAGTCCAAAAATATTCTCACTGCGTTGTTTGTCCAAACTGGCAACGTGGTTTTCTTTTCTCGGCATTCCACACCTTATAATGCGGAGCGGTTGAGATAGCAGTTTACTCCCGAGACATATCAAGATCAAGAAATTTTGTGGTCTTCAAATGTTTTCACGATAACTCCTAATAAAAAATGTATGTATCGATATCGAGCTTTTTTTATTAATTCCAGAATTCGATAAACTGGTGTCCTATTTCATATTATTAGTCTAGATTATGTAGTTTTTTTTTTTTTTCCAATTCATTTTTAGTAAAATTCACTATGATACACATCTACAAAAACAAAAAAACTTTTATTATTTTCTTCACGTGAAAATTATGGCGCCACTTCATTAAGTTAAAATGAGATAAATTAATCATATTATTAGATATTTTTTCAACTGCGCGCGCAGATGACAAGAACAAGAGGCACCAATGATTAAAAAAAAATAGAAAATACTTTGTAAGAAATTACTTAATTATTTTTTTTTTAAATCATTTAATTTTCTTATTTAAAAATAAGAGAGCGTTATGAAACCTAAATTTTTGAATATTCCGAACATTAAGTATGCTTTAACACCGCTTCAACACCAAAAATAATTTAAAACAATCCTTTCAGTGTTAAAATTTATCACCAAAAATTTTAACTCCTGTACCGCCTAAAGTCACACCATTTTTTTTTTTTTTTAATTACTGTTACACTTGATTTATTTACATATTAACAGCTATTTTACATAAACTTTCAATATTTATAAATGCGTTATCAATTTTAATAATTATTCTACAAAGAAAAAAATAAATTATAAAATATGTTCAGCTTCTTGAAAACTATGTACTCACATATAATGTAATCGACATTTTAATTATCAAATTGTTTTATTCAACATATTTTAGGAGATGATTCTTTGATTTATTCAGATAGAAATAGTCCGAATACATATTAATTGAGTAATCTAAACAAAAATATTATACATATAATAGGCAATGAACTAATTTTTAATAAATAAAATTTCAATTAACTTTTTTTTCGCATAAATGGAGAATTTTCTGAAATAAAGTAAGACAATTTACCTATTACAACGTCGTAATGTTTCTCACATTTAGTTTGATTGTTCTATTAAATACATATTTAAGATGTAAATACTTCAATAAAAGTCATCATATTAATAGAATTTTATAATAACTTATTTATTTTCAATCTAACGGAAAAAATAATTGTTAATGATTAGTATATAAGTGACTAAAATGTTAATTTCTAATACCCTTAATATATTTTTGCATAGTAATTTTACATTCATTTTTAAATATGAAAGTGATTCTTAACTTATCACTTTGAAATCGATCAATTTTCCGATATAATGCTTTCCTGTTAGATCTTGGCAATCAATTGGTACACGATATAATAAATTTTTTTTAGATTCAGAAACATACTCAGCCATATTTATATAAAATTTCATTAATCCTGTAGTGCATGCTTCAAAATCAATGTTGATAAAAGGCGTTGTGAAAGCTTTAAAATACTTCATACATTTTGTAGAATAGAAATTAGTAAAAATTGAAAAGCCTATCAATGAAGTGGATAAAAATTTTATGTCTACGGAAGTCAATGAACAATTGTAGATAAATGCATCTCCACGAAAAGACTAGAAAAATATATAAGTTGTTAAAAGTTTATAAAAAGTATATTATATCACTTACAATGTCATCTATTGCTCTCGTCATTGAAAAATTACAAGAAAACAATATTACAATATTTACAAATAAGAAATATTTCATTATTGTGAAATTGAAATAATAAAAAATAGATTTTAAAAATAATTTTTAGAACTTCTCTAAATGAATTTTAAAACAACAATATGCTACGAAAACAAGTTAGTAAAAAATGTAATTAACAAATCATTATTTCATAAAATGATAAAAATAATTTTATTTCTTTATGTTATAAATTTTACATTAAGAATAATTTTATCGAAATTCCGAAGAGAATTATCACTAATAACAATTTAATTACACTTAAGACATCACAATTTTTTTTATTTTTCAAAATAAAAAAAATTGAAAGAGTAGAACTTGGAAAAAATGTTTATTTGTATAAATTACATACAACGATATTAAAAATCTAAAAATTTGATTGCTATTAAACTCCAACTTTTATGTCCTTGACCAACTTCAACATAAACAATATTACTGATGTTCGATATCAGTTATCTAATGATTTTTTTTATCAGTCATTAAATACTTTAAAAGATAATACAAATTTTATATTTTATTGAAAAACAGTATTTATTATTTTTTAAACTCGAAAATAACTAAATTAATTAGTGTACAATATTTTACATGAAATATTTGACGTGAAAAAATTTTTATGTATTGCAATTTCAGACTATGTATGAGAATAAAAAAATGGTTTGATATAATTTTTTATTTTTTATAGAAATTGATACGTTAATTAACATACTTTACTAGATAAAAATTGGTTTAGTACACAGAAAAATGAAAACAGGAATAATTACAGTATAAAATGTTAAATCGGTCCTGTCGTAATCAAAATTAGAAAATAAATATTATATTCTATTTCTATAGAAAATAAATATTACATTCTACAATGTAATTCTTATAAAATCTGTAATAATTACAATCTGAAACTGTAATTTTTCCAATTTTCATCACGAAGCGCCACGATGCATTATATTGAAAATTAAGTTAGCCGACATTTAAAAATTTTTAAGATTTTTTTTTTATTAAAAAAATATATAAGTGCAATTTTTTAAAAATATTTTTTAGTTCTAATTTAATTATTAAAAAAAAATCAAAAAATTAAAATTGTCGGCTAACTTCAGTATCATTGCATTATATACTGTAATTTTTCGAGTTTTCTTTTTTCCCTGTAGTTGCTTAAACTAAAAACAAATGTCAAATTATCCTCAGGAGAGTAAAAAAATATTTTATTTTGTTTTAGAACTGAACACCGCTGACTTAACTTTCTCTTCCGGATTTTTAACACTATTAGGGCCATGTATGATAATTTTTTTACGGGAAGCTAAGAAAATTTATCGGAAGACTTAACTTGTTTTGGAGCAAGAAAAAATTATCTTGACAATAAAATTTTCTTAACTCAATAAAAACTTTCTTATGTAAAAAAAAAGGTATCGTTTTCCTAAATATTTTCTTGGGTGAAGAAAATTAGTTCTTAATTATAAATTTTTTTTCTGTGTAACATTGAAAATTTTAATTTTAACTAAAAACACCTGTTTTTTTATTTCTCGTAGCTTATCACAGTATCACTTTCTCCATACTGCATGGTCTTAGCTGCAGCTAAGCGGAAATTTTTAGAAGTTAAAAATCATTCAATATAATTCTATATATCTTTTTTTAATGAATGGAAAAAAAAATT